GATGCACACTCTCCAATAAACATAGCATGACTAATCCCTCCTCACAAATGACAAGGCCTAGTCATCTCACGCACAATGACATCAAAGCCAACCACTTGCCACAACTCAGACTTGAGTGATGGAGCTACATTTCCGTCAGTGTCACACAGGGTTAACTAAACAAGCAATTTCAGCACAGCAGCATTTGCTAAAAAGCTTGATGGGACCAGCTAAGCTCCTGTGATTGGCCTTTGTGTGTGAAAGTGACCACTTAAGTGCTACGCAGCCCCTCCTGAGTGTGTTTGTAGGCATAAGCATTTCCTCTGACTTTTTTTGCCTTCTCGCAGAGTGTGTTTGTGTGTCCTTGAGGGGAGTGTATTGGTGTGTGTGTGCTCACTGGTGCATTTGTGGTTGTTGTGCTGCGTGTGTGTGTCTGTGTGTGTGTGTGTGTGTGTGTGTGAGAGAGAGAGTACATCTGCGTTTCTAAATGTCCTGCTTCTTGCTGGTGGTGCTGTATGTTGCATCATTTCAAACAATGATTTTAATGACCCATAAAAAAAGAAAAAGAAAAGTGAATTACTGCAGTGAAGCAACGTTTGAAAGAGAGAATATTCACTAAGAAACGTCGCTGACCCAAATACTGTTCACAGACAAAATATTAGTCATCTCAATTAAAGATGCGTTATTATCGCATTTTAAGTCTTATTTTAAGGTAATGCCCCCAAGGACGTTACTTATAGACGATGCAGTCAAAAAACATAACGGCACTGATTTACTTTCCGATGTTTTAGTTCCAGTCCGGTATATTTCATTTTATACGACACATTGATTATGAAGTTTAATAGCTGGCTTTCAGCTTTAAAGGTATTTCAGGATATTTATATGTCTGCTAGGTGAACAGTGTGGGATTATTAGCCCTTTTTATACCTTTCTATATAAAACACAGCAGCACAGTCTCCTCAAATGTGCAAACAAGGTAAACTAAGAGGTGTTTTATGGCCAAAGAGGGGGACGGTTTTCATTTACCGTGCACTCAGATGATCTCAGTCAAACTGTTTACATGTTTCACTTGCTGAAGGCTGAAGGCCAAAAGCCCCTGGTACATTTTCAGGTAGGCCTGGCAGAGCATCACCAGAGAAGATGCCAAGTGTTTGCTGAGGTGTTTGGGTCAAACACCTCAGCAAAGGATTATGGCACCAAAAATTAAACCTTACAATTTTGATTGCACTGTGTATAGAAAGGACTACAGTTCCTGCACTGGACATCCGCCCTCAGACTGCAGCACCTCACATTAACGATCGCTTTTCATCTAGCACCATCATCAGGTCAAAGTTTGAATTTTTTTAATTTTTTTTTTTTTATGACACACTAACACACTGAACCAGGATGGACAACACGGTGAACATTTCACCTGCTTATCATCGGCATGTCAGCACTTTGAGCAGCACGCAGCATGTAGCATGTAGCATGTCAGCACTTTGAACAGCACGCAGCATGTAGCATGTAGCATGTCAGCACTTTGAACAGCACGCAGCATGTAGCATGTAGCATGTCAGCACTTTGAACAGCACGCAGCATGTAGCATGTAGCATGTCAGCACTTTGAGCAGCATGCTGACATTAGCTTTTACCTCAAGGTACCGCTCTGTAGTACAAGCTTCACTGGCTGAAGGACTCTGTGCATATTTTTTGTGTGTGACAAAGTTTGTATCCTGGCTGCAGTCACCGTTTCCATGACAGCCACATTTACTGTGAGTGACAAAAAATGAATTTAACTTAATGGATGAACACTTGAGCCTACATTTAACATAACCTACTGTCTACAGCTAAATCATGGAAATAGGTGTGTATATATAACATATATTGTAAGGTGTTACAGGACTAATTCATTTCTCTGTCTATATTGACTGAGAGTGTTACTCTGCATGACATCCCACACAGACTAGAAGGCACTGACATGTTATGTACTGTTCATCTTTAATGCAAAAAAATTCCCAAAACATTGAGCAAAGCAGGCAGAGGGTTCACCATTCATTCACTGCATAATCCTTCCTTCTTCCTTCTACATATTTCGTGTAACAACACCCACACACTAACTAGTACAAGTACAGATATTTGAAATTTGTGAATCAATGTAGAATCAGATAAATCAGACTTTGAATTTGAAAGTGATTCCAATAATTTAAATGTTGTCCAATCATGTTTTTATAATGGCAGTCCTCATTTTTTTTTTGTCCACCTTCCTTTGCTGCCTCTTGTCAAACTGACTTTCCGACATAATGAAGTTGAAATCTGTTTATTTTGGTCATGGTAGCACTGTAAACAGCTCCTGAAGTGCTATAAAGTGGAGTGTATATACTGTATCTTTATATTCACATTCACATGTGTGTACTGTGAAACAGATGCGTATCAGTAATGGTTTTTTACAGGCCAACATTAGCTTACTGCAGCAAATGACTGTGGGCTTTAAGAATGTCCTTTGACTGACAGAGTGTCTGCTGGCAAATAGTGATAAATAAGGCAATGTTATGCACGGGGGATTGCTGGGACGGCTTCCAGTGAAAGCTGCTCACCCAGCACGTATGCCCAATGAGTTTCGCCAGCTTCCCTCCCATAACTTATCCACATTAGTGTCTTTGTCTGGGTGAGTGTTCTGCCTGCACACATGAATGACACAAAATTTAGATTTGGCTGCTGATCTTTCAAATATGAATCAGGCGTATTATTCAAATTGTGATGAATCACAGTCCTGTCTGAATGTTTGTGATGTCCAGCCTGTGTAGTTTCACTTTCTCTCTCCAGTTTTTGTAATTAATGTTTGTTGTAAAAAAGACGGGTCAGGGTTGGACAGCGTTACCTGACCTGTAGTTACATCTGAACAGGCTCATGATTTCCTCTGCGGGCACATGTGCTCAGTGCTGCCACCGGTGGTCCGTTATTATTTTCCATGAATCCTGTTAGAAGAAACAAAACACAGTTGTAACATGATTAATTCATGAGTCCTTGTTTTTACTCTAAACAAATGCACTTTTACCAGCTGCCTCTGACAAACATGTGCCTACACAGAGTCACGTATTTGTGTGCACTTGGTATAAACTATGCGATCATTTTCTTTGTGCACACAAGGTATTATTTCAAACATCCGTAGTCCAGTATACGGCCGTCTGCTGCCTCCCCTCTTAATATATCTTAAATACAGCGTTTTTTTTTGTGTGTGTGTGTGTGTGTGTGTGTGTGTGTGTGTGTGTGTGTGTGTGTGTGTGTGTGTGTGTGTGTGTGTGTGTGTGTGTGAGAGAGCGAGATGCATTTACCATCAGTGAAGGGCGAGTCCTTCAGAAGACGGGGTCACTGCTCTAATCTGAGGAGGTGATGATATTGTGAGGATATTTAATGAGAGGATAAGAGCAAAAGTGGAAGGGGGTGGGGGGGGTTGGGGCGGCAATGAGTATTAGCCTTTTTAGATATCATTAAACATTAATACTGTCAGGGGACTGGAACACACTGGGGTCCTTTCCATTGACTTTCATGCTGCTTGCTAATAGAGTTTCACCTCTGGGGACCTCCACACCCCCCACCCACCCCTCAGTGCAGCACTAAAGCTAAGGAAAGATCAGATTGCCACCCCGCTTCTGAGGATGAGATTAGTGGGACTGTGTGTGTGTGTGTGTGTGTGTGTGTGTGTGTGTGTGTGTGAGGTTATGCACTCTCTCTTGCTCCCTCTCTGTCTTTTACTCCTGGTGTATGATATATGTAAAATATAACTATTCTAAAACTATTAAAATCCCTGTGGGGGCTTGCATATATTAACCCAACACTTAATCCTGAGAAGCATTTCAAATGTCTTTCTACAGGATGTTATTTTGGTGGTTGTTTTCCATTGTAATGCTTCGGGTATCCAGCAAATTACTTATGCAATTATTTCAAGTCTTAAACTAAAACATGCCGTACACTTCAGTGATGGAAGCAGAGTCTTTTTCATACTGGTTCTGCTCTGTGTCACTGCATCATGTGTTCATTTATCTCTGATTTTGTGGATTGATCAAAACTTCTTGTTCATTATTTTGAAGCTTGTTTATGTTACATGACATTTATTCATTTGTCAGAGACTTTTATCCAAAGTGACTTAAACGTGAGGGACAACACTCACTTATGAACATTAAATATTACACTTCAGCAGGGCTGCAACTAACATTTTTTCAATTCATCAGTGAATCTACTGATTATTTTCTTGATTAATTGTTTAGTCCTTATCATTTTATTTGTCATGTTTTACCAAGAAGTCCCATTGAGATAAAAAAAAAAAAATCTATTTTACAAGAGACACCTGGCCAAGAAAGCAGCCATACAAACACACTGCATATTAGAATACAGCATAAAACATAAAATACCATGTATACGACATGATAGCAATTTAAAATTCAATAGCTTCTCAAGAAAAACAAGTACATGTCTCATTTACCATGTTCTTTAAAATTGTATTAATGTATCTAATGTCAAGTTCATGTCATTAAATTTCTTGTTTTCCAAAAGTTAAAAATATGCAGTTTCCTATTGATTAATAAAATAGTTGCCTTTTATTTTTCTGTCAATCAGTGAATCAATTTACTCTTCATAGGCTGATAATTTAAAGTTGCACATCTGTTATCATTCACAAAAAAATATATACAAGCATTTCTCCTGTTGTTATACTTGTATCACTTGTTCTAAATGACATAAACTTGTGTTCAGCAGCAGCAAGTCGTTAAATCAACCTCGCCTCTAACTGAATGGTGTTTGTCACATAAAGCACCAACAGAGGGCAGTGATCCCCTTCTAAAGAGACGACGCTTGGCTGCACACACAGGAACACCAGCCCTGTGTGTGTGTGTGTGTGTGTGTGTATTGTATGGCTTCTGGGAATGAATAAACCCGTATGCTCACACTACTCAGAGGAGTGTGTGCGGATGGCGTCAGAGGGAGCTGTTACTGTGCAAAGCTTGAGTTACAATAGCACCCAATTTAATAAGTTGATCTCGTTCACAGGGATCCCTCTCGTGCCCTTTCCCTCCCTGGAGTGCTGTCTACGATCTCATCTGCACAATGTAAGAAACATTAGCACAACATTTCCACTGATGAGTCCTCCAGTAATAATGGCCTAATTCAGAGTTTCCTAACTGAAATGTAATAACTCATTTGAACAGCAGAGGAGTGCGTGGTGTCTCTTTTCAGACATTCACTATTGCCTTTAAAGCAGTATTTTCCTCTCTCTAACAGATCCACTGAACTCAAGTTCCTCAATTGATTTGATCTAAATACGCTTCTGCTGGCGAGGCGCAGCAAAGTAAGTGGTCATATTGCATTTGATTCACACACAGTAAATGGTGCAGCTCTTATCCTCCTCCACACCGTGCATCATGATCAGAACTTTCACTTTTCATCAATCACTTTTGTGGTTTTCACACTTGGCGGGAGAAACCCTTGTAATGCACATATTTAAATATGAATTATCAAGCACATTTATTTTTTATAGAGGTGAAGTAAGCTTCAGCTACAGTTTTCCATAGGCTAATTTGACTTCACAATTATTCAGTGTGTAAATCATAACTAATCTAATTTGACTTCACAATTATTCAGTGTGTAAATCATAACTAATCATCCGGCCAAATTGCAATTATCTGGCATGTTAATACTGAAAAGGTTTTGATGAAAATATCTTGTTTTAATGTCGGGGGGAGGGGGAAGGGGGGGGGATGGTCTGACTAGTAGTAGAAAAGAAAAGTAGAAAGAAACAGTAGTCTGAATAGTTTTGAAGACATGTTACTCTTAGCAGCAATGACAGTGGTAGCTGTGACAACCACAGCTGTAGCCATGAAAGCAGAACTGTAGAACTGCCATAACATCAGTATTAATGACAGTCATAGCAGTAGTTGTAGAAACTACCAGTTCAGACAGAGACAGAGAGAGCATCTGATTATTGCAGTTCTGTGTGTTTAACATGAATTCTTGCTGATTTGACTTCATTTTGTTTATTAATTCATTGGATCAGCCTTATTAATAATTGATGTATTCATGTATGAATAGCTTGTTACACCTCTGATTTCTAAAGTAGTTAGATTTAGCACCCACTGCATTAAATGCTGACTAAATATATGAACTGTTTATCTCACTGTGAGCAATGTGCATTTAGCTGCTTTTTGAAAGTAGTCTTTTTTTGTCTCTACTCTCTCTATGTCTACATTTATTTACTTCAACCTTTCTTCTACGTGTATTAATACATATTTTTTATATTATCATTAATTGAATCATGTGCAATGTAAAGGGGTCACTCATGTTGCTCTTATTCCATTTTTAGTGTTTTAAGTATTCTGGTTATTTGTGGTCTGCATATTCACTGTATGTTGAGTCTGAATAGCTCCTTTCGACCCCCTGTAGGCAGCTGTTTCTGAGCCACTATCTGTCCAGCACCTAACAGATGACAAACCAAACTAGTGAGGAGAAAATCAAACACCTTCCAAGATAAACACCTTGATGTTTTTCAAGTTTTTTTCTGATAGATTTGTCAGATGGCCAGCTCATGTAGCTCTGTGTCTAGTAGGTAATTGTTTGGCGACACATTAGCCAAAACATCTGTGTAAGCCAGAGATACTGTGCGTGGTGGCTACAAATCAGCAAGTGGACAATCAGAATACCTCGTACATCACCAGTCTATCCGCTAGATCCCCATGACTCAGCCTACGCCTAACAGTGCAATGACCTTGTCTCACCAACGTGTTTCCATGTCTTGACCGTGTGATCTGTTTAGGTGTATCGGCCAGACATCTGATCCCCGTTCTGTCGGAAGGCTGCCAGCCACAGGTCACATGACCTGGAAGAAAAAAGCTAGGAGACTTTTGGGATCCCGCTTCGGTCAGACACACCTTCCTATTCTTATTACCCGTGTACACTGAGGTTTGCTTCAACATGTTCTGATCCTGTGCAGAAACTCAGGCTTCACCAAGAACAACAACCCATGTATTGATAATGTATAGGCTGCCTCAATACAGTTTTAAAGCAATTTTGCAGTGTTACATCATTCTGGAGAACACTGCATGTACAAATTAAATTATAATTAACTTAAAACATAAAAGACTGTATACATGTAAATAAATAGAATTTCCATATATGAAATATAAGGACATTTAAAATAATGAATGTATATGCAAAAATTATACACGAAACCTATTAGAAATTGAAGCAATTACTCTATGTCTTGCCCATACAAATATATATATATATATGTTTATGTATGTTTGCTTATATTGTAAACATATGTTACATAAATATATATCCATCCCAAATCCTGTCATTATATGTTGATATTATATACAGTGGGCTGAGAAAGTCTGAGATCACTTTCCCAGAATGGGAAGATAGACGTGTTTAAAAATGAACAAGAAATGAATAAGAAAAACATATATAAACAAATATAATTTTTATATGTACGTTTAATAAACTAAAGATATAAAAGATAAAATAAAATATATGTCATCAACATGTTACACCATATAAAAAAAACATATAAAAATTCAGCATATGGATCTTTTATAATATACACTGTTGCTCATAAAGTTGGAATAAAATATTTTTTTAAACATTTTTTTAGCGCCAAACAAATTTTATGCATGAATTCATTTCACCTGGGTAATTGGGACACATAATGTAATCAGTGCACCTGGTCAAAAGTGATTACTGATAAACAGAGGATTGTGTCTGAAAACAAAATTATTCCAACTTTATGGGCAACAGTGTATGTACATATACAAATTTTACTGGGGTATTTTATACATGTTATAATCTTCATATATCCAAATGATGTATATATGGGATAATATATCCCTTTATAGTTAATATACAGTATATGTCAGCATCACATTTGATAAAGGGACATATATGTTGTTTACTACATTTCTGTATTAGTGGTATACTGTCCTGTACATAAAAAAAACATAGAAACATGCATTTATACTCACACAAATCTGATCAAGAGATTTCCTACTCTCTGTTGCAACCTCTCTGTTTATGTTATTTTTTCTCTGGACCTCAGCATGGGCTGGCTATCAACCTGAAGGGAAGTCCAAAGGCTGATGAACTGATCTGTGTCTGTGTGAGACCACACTGCTCTGGTGTCCTATATGCCCAGGGAACACAACATCCAGCACAAATCTGGTGAGTAACGAGACTCATTTGATCTGTCAATGGTAAATTGATGGGATTCACTCCTTTCCATTACAGAGGAGTTTATGAAGGCAGGTGCCCTTGCTTTGAAGTTTATAATGGATGATGGTTGATGAAGGCTGTGCCACTGACAATGACATGCGTCGGATGATTTTGAATTAGCCTTACGTTCTGATGTGATTTTGTTTGGTTGGAAGGCAGGATGACAAACATATTGCTTGCTCAACATTTTTCCACAACCTCCTGCCTCCTCTTCATCTCTCTCCTGTCTGTCTGTTTCAGTTTGTCTCAGCACATGTAGCTTTGGATAAAGTAACATATACACAACTTTCAGTCATAATTACACATCAGAATTCATAGCTCCCTCTCTTACGTTAAAAAGGCTCTGTTAAATTGTGTCATTATCAGTCTTTGGAGCTCCTTTCACAAACATTGTTTACTATAAATTTAGGTCTATAAACAAGCCATGAAGCACTCCAACAGGGTTCGAGGATGTTTACCTACCTGTCATTGCAGATATTGCAAACTGAAAATCCGTCTCAGTCGGCAGAACCCCTTCTGTAAGAGACAGAGTCAGTGAGTGAACCTTGTGCACCACAGCCCGAAACATCTTTCTGTTGCAGCAATCTGTCGTGTAGCAAAGCGGAGGTTAACTTTCAGTATCTTTGTATTTTAGCTTGTCAGGTATTTGTTGCTTCATGCTTATTTTTCTTTTTTTTTTATAAACACTCAACATTACTACTAATGTATCATCTTAATTATACATTATCTACAACTAGAAGAAATATATCATTTCCTCCTGTGCACATGTCGTGTCAGCTCAGCTCCCACGCCTTTCTCCTCTACATGACTCTCATGTTTTACCAAGAACCTCACATTTTAATGTCTTTGTTCATCACCTGAGTGTGAAAACAGACATATGACAAAGTAAAAGTTGGTGTCTTGCTCATATCTCAGTCATGAAATCCTACTGCTGTCAGCAGGACACCGGAGCTGAGAGTATTGGAGCAGCCAAGAGAAACGCTGCCCTGCCTCACACTGTCTGGTGTCAAGCTGCCCTCCGTTTCCATCACCTGTCTCTACTTCCATCACAGTCCATTTTGTGGTTTGGTCATTTTAAGATAAGATTGAGGTTGTGAAGCTTAATAGCCGGCCTACTGTTGCTCTGCGTACTGTGAGGCAGGTGTTGGTTCTCGGCTGATTCATCTACTCTTAGTCGGCTTTTAGTCACACGCATGAAGTACACACATCAGCCTTCAGATTCATAACTGATTTTGTCATGTCATTGTGACATCTGTCAACAATTGAACTCCTGCGAACAAGTCCACTTCACCACTCTAAACTGTAAAGTGTGAGGAGCCCTTCAGGCAGATTTTACCCTTTGTCACTAACAGTTTCTGTGATCTTTCCAGCAGTCAGGTGTTACCAAGAAAAGGCAAAACAGAAAGATTTGAAAATAGCACATCAGTGTCGAGTCTTCATAAATACACAAAAAGGCCTTGAGGAGAAAACAGAGTAACACATGTACTTAAAGCTCTTAGATAAACAAATCTGAACACCATTTTGTATCACTGTTAAGACAGCTTGAGTGTAGGAATTATTGTATTTACCTATCAGGTAATGCTATCAGGCACAAACACAGATTGGTGGACCAAAAGCAAGCCGGCTCAACCATGCACCTCCTCCCAGATAACTCTGTCTAGCCTCACAGAGATCAACACCTCAAGTGTATTTGTGCTGCTGAGGTCAAAAGCTTTAGTGCGAGGTACTTCCACTCAAATATCCAACAAAATGTTAAAAATCAGTGGACTCCAGCAAGTTCATTGCTGACTGAGTTTGCATTATGAATCATGATATTTCATTTCAACTTAAGATGGATAAATATTGTACCAATGCTCCAGTGAAATGAAGAGTGGGTTGTATGCTTATAGTCCAGTCCTTGATCACTGAAAGTGGCTGTTTGTTGGTCCAGTTAACGTCATGTTTTGTCCATAGACTTTATAGAAAGATGGATGTAGCCTTTTGAAGCTCATATTGGGCTGCTCCGCTGTCACCATCTTGGCAGTGCCTTACTGTGCCTAACTCCTGGCTAATCCAAAAATGGGCAAAGAGGTGGGCATGTGTGGAGCAAAGACTTTGGTCCATGCCGGTCTGTGGCAATCATACACTCCCCCACCTGTCACCCAAAGCGGCACGCCCTTTAAGCCTTAATAAAATGTAAACGGCTGAGTTATATAAAAATTCACCTGCCGTTTTTGGCACTTCCATGTTGGCTTCATTTTTCAACCCCAGAGGTTGCCACTTGGTTTTGTCCAGTGACTTTTGATAAAGATCTTGTTGATATGTTCACGTCATTTCCAAAACTCCCAAAGTTGATAAGAAAGCCTGACGTCACCATTAAACTAACAACAAGTGCACTATGGATTGAGGGTTTCCATGAGCTGTGAAGGACACACCAGTTGCATGTGCCTTATTTGGGCACAAAAATATAGGCAGTATATATCACCTGTGTTTGGTGGAGCCATTGGGACAGCCTTGTCAGCTGTAATGACATATCCAGCCTTGAAATATGGACTTTCAAAGAGGCAGCCTCTGAACTGGGATACAGTTTGCTTTTTGCCTTCTCTGACCGACTTATCCATGTAACTCAAATGTTGTCAGTTAACGCTGCAGGGATCAAAAAAATCATCAGTAATATAGAGAGAGCTGCTTAGAGCAATGTACAGATCAGATGAGTGTACATCAGTGAACTTCTTACTGTCAAACAGCTCTAACTACACTCCCTGCAACTGATTCGTATTTTGTATTATCACCAGACTTTCACTTTAAAATTATGTTCCTGTATTTTTAGCCATTGCACTTAACTTCCCTCCAGACAGCTTTCTAACACTGCTAACATTGCTTTTAAACAAGGAACGTTATTTGTAAGTTTTCTCTGCCGAACGAATTTTCTTGCCAGAGGCGGGTGATGATGATTGTTGCTTGACAAGAGCTTCAGCCACTGTTGTGTTTACAAGACAAGAGGTTATAATACGTCCTCTGAGCAGAGTCTTCACGACAGATTGGAGGCTGCAGTGAGTCATTGTCAGAAGGTGACAAGATAGGCCGGGGCTAGCTGGTTATCATGCTAAAGTCAATAGAAGGAAAGACCTGACACAAGAAAACATTGGCGTTGTTTTCCACCACTGAAAGCAGCTCTTGGCGAGTAAAGGAATGAAGTTTGATGCTGAACTCACAACATTTCTGCTAGACTGTAAGTAAACAGCCGTTATGCTCATGTTGGCGTCTGTAGCAATAGCAAAACTTACAAATGGCTCCTTTAAAGAGAAAATACTTGGAATAGTACTTGCAAGGGAAGGAAGGACTATGCTATACATATTATAGAATATACAAATACCTATGCAGAAGAGTTGCCAATACAACCAGTCCTGTAGTGTCGGTCACAAACCAAGTCTCCCACTGGTCACTTGTCAGAGAATCAGTGTCTTACTTAAGAGCAGTTCACCGTTCTTCCTCTGCTGATTTCCTAATATACAGTCAACAAAATAACAAATAAATTGTGGAACCGGCCACCAGCTAAACACAGCGGACTATAATGTCCAAGTTAAGCCCATACTGTATGTGTTGCTGTGACTGATATCATCTATCTTCAACTCTCTTTTAAGGTTCATGTAGGCATTCAGTCCAACATCATTGCCTCATTTCAGAGAAAAAACATCAAGACAGTCAGGGGGAGGAAAGGAAATAAAAGTGCACAAGTTTCCTTTCAAGTTTTTTTCTGGTCCGTCTGTCTGCCTGTTTGTATTCAAATCTTTGAACCAGTTCCTTTGAGCATGTTTGTACGTGCCGGTGCATACATGTTTGTGTGTTTTGACTATTAATACATGCAGCAAAGCTTTACAGACTGATCCGGAGAAAAGAGAAAATCTAAGCCGGCTGTCTCTGCAGAGCACTGCTTTGGACTGATACGACTAAGTCAGCAGATCCAGGCTTCCTGTCATATCCCTATAGGCAAAAAGCACTGTGCCTCCTTTACCTCTGGCCATAATATTTTGTCTGTTGAATACGGCAGATTAGCTAGACACAAACACATCTGATATTTAATACACACATGCATACGTTTCAGACAGCTATCTCTGAAAAGCACCATGTAAACTGGTCGAATGAATAACCTGACATCATAACAACACATCAGGTCAGATAAAAGTAGACACATTAACATAATTATCCAATGAATTGAATAATCAGCTTTGAAAATGGATCTCACCACCTGGAGTGTTTAGATTAAGATCACATATTAAATCTTTATTTGCGCTGATTCAAAGGAGTTCTTCTGCCTTTGTGGATTCAATTACATCTGGTGATATGGAGAGCAGCGTGTTTTTGTAGTTCTAAGTAAAATAATGTTTTTAGTCTAAATGCTCAGGGACATTCAAGTGTAGTGATTACCACAGACTTCATGAGCATGTTGCTTTTTTGTTCTTTCAATATTCAGATAAATGAGGATAATAGTAAGTAGCACTGTCTCAGACAACATCACTACTTTGAGCACAGAAGGATCTGTGGCTGATGGCGTGTTGACTAATTATGAACAAGATTATATCTGATCAAGAATAAGATAAGAATGAGTGCAGTACATCAAACTAAAACACGGAGGCTTGTGCTGTGTCATACATAAAAACTCAAGCACCCACATTTATTCTTAAGGTGGTTCCACTGCTCATTCTCAGCAATTTCACTCTTCACTTTGATATAGTTGCTGATATTATTGGTTAACTGCCCAGTACAAGTGCTGCAGGTCACAAAGCAGTGCCATGGGAACCACTGGGGAATAACTGACATCGACAGGAGCACAGAGGAAGTGTTTGTGCATCCTGTTGAAGGAGGAGAGGCTTATGCATTCACTGTCTTTCCAAGACTTCCTCTACATAGGATCATCAAAAATTCAATCCCATACACACACACGCTAACACACACAGCTCATTGAGACC